TAGCAACAACTAAAACATCGGTGTGGTATCAACATTGTTCTCACCCTAAATCCAAAACAGAGCACTGTACCAGCTACTAGGAAGGAAATTAACTCTATCCCTGCCGAAACCAGGACACTATGCAGTTCATGAAGAGATGGGTAAGTCTGCTTAACAACTGTTTATCTTCAATATAAAGTTATTTCCCTCTAACAGCAATCTATCTTGGAAAGTCTCTGCTCTTAAACCCCAGGAAAAAAATCCCAAATATGAAGCACAATACCATTTATATTAAAATATTCCCAACATTTCAGTGATCTGCATCATTAATTCTCTCAATTATACACGTTTTCATTACAGCTTGCTAGCCTTGTCTCTGTGCTTAGAATAAGTTCTCCAGTCAGATTTAATAAGCATGTAGAATTGATGGGGTACTTATTTCAGTCTACTGAAGAGATTTCAGTTGAAGCAAAAGCTCCAAGATCTGATACTATGACCAAACACAGTCTTAATTCAGATTTCTATCACAGCTTGCTCTCTGAATTGACATTTGTAAACTAGTAATATTTATAATTTTAGGAAACAGAATATAACCACAATTCAACTTACTTAGAATCCAGTTCATGAAAGCATATTTATGCGTTTGCTCACTTCTGAGCCAAGCATTTAAATACAACCTAGAAACTCTTGAGGCCAGTTAGACTTAGGTACCAAGTGAAAGCAATGCTGGCATAAATATATTAAACCCCCCCACCTTTTCTTATGCGGCATATTCAATAATTAGAATTCTTTTGTAAAGGATACAAGGATTGTTGTCATCAATGCTGCAGTTGTCCAGGATCAAAGGGATGCCATCTAACTCATAAACCTAAATCAAAACAAAAGTTTAATTTAACAGATGTCTCAACAATACTAATGATGCTTCATGCAAGAAATATGTAAAAACATAACAGGGATGTTTGTTTCATCAAAAATATTAAACTTGTTAACATAAATTGCAGAGTAAATCTGGTATTATCAACAGTAAGTATCACAAAATAGTAACACAAGCAGACATTAATTTCACATTCTTCCTTCATTTAGCCTGTGTTTGACTGAGGTATTTTCTATGTCATGCTTCTCACACTGAGCTATGTCAAAAAGCTATGGTTATTGATGGTTCATGCTTGCTTCCAGAAGGAAGAACCACAAAAAAATACTGAGTGAAAAAAATAGGAAAAAAAAAGTTGAAAAATATTTATACGCATGCACACAAAGTTAGCATGGGGTCACGTGTCTTCTGTATCTATGCAACCTTCCAAAGCAATGTGTTACCTCTATGTACCTAAGCACCAATTCTTTACATCAAGTAAGAGCCACTGACTTTTTTCCTCTGATAAGGTGTTCATTATGTTATTAGGAAACCAGCAGAGATGACATCTGTCATTTTTTATTTCCTATATATACATACACATGTGAATTCACAAATTACACTAATACATTTGTGTGTGTGGATGAGATAATAATGTATAATCCTAATAGACTCATACATACATACACACCCACACTACCGAGAACTCAGGACAAGCTGATATTAACAATAAATATGTAGCATAATTATCTTAAGTATATTCCATAAGAAATTCATCTAGACTTCTAAGGTACACAGTAACACCACACATCATCATGCATACTTATAGTTTTAGAAAGTGCTACTTATTTAAATGAAAATCTTTTCTAAATTATCAGCAAAATTTCAGCCTTTGAAATACCTTAAGACACATAAGCTTTTTTTTTTAAATTACAAAAGTAGTTTTAAAAAGACTTCAGAGCATGAGGATTAATTGTTTATATTCTTATACCCATATATTATTTATATTCTTTAAGCCATCTGGACATGGTCCTGGGCAACCTGACCTGCATTTAAGCAAGGGAGTTGGACAAGAGGTTCCTCCAGAAGTCCCTTCCAACCTCAATCATTCTGTGATAGCCAAGCCATACTTGTCCAAATCTTAAATTCTTTAATTCCTTAAAATTTAATTTCAAACCAAGAACTGGTGGGCAAAGGAATTCAGACAGAACGTCAATTTAGCTTGTGGCTTGATGATGGGATTCTCTCTTTCCACCTTTTTTTTCCAAAATAAGATGCATTTTTATGTACCATGTAAAACAACAAATCACAAAGTTTACACTGCAGGACGGATCGGCTTTCTGAAATGCAAGTTCTATGGTAAGAGAGGAAACTTGGGTTGGAGGAGATTTAGATGTGAAATCCAAAACAGACTATCGATCAGTAAAACTGAATTCAGAGACAAATCCCTCTTACAAGTTCCTTTTCAGATAATCTCATTGCAGAGTCTCAAGCTATAACATGAGAAAGTAACAGTAACAGAGGCTAACATGTAAGAAAAGCAAGAGCATTGCTAGCTCTTGAGACCTAACCGGCACATCTGTGCTAACATGCATAACTATACCTACATGAAATACAGTTAATAACGCAAGTTTTAAAATATCCATTCTTTCCACATAATTTTTGTGTGTTTTCCAAAGGTCATGCATCATATATGATGTCATACTTCAAAGCTTGAACAAGCAGTGACCTTTCCGTAATACAGCACTTGCGCGTGCTTGGGAAATGTTAGTTCTTTAAATTTTACGCTGTAGCCAAACTCTGATATGCCTACAATGTTACCTTTTATTTTCCATCAATGAAATGCTGAATAGTACAAATTAATCTAGATTAAGTACTGTCAACTGAAATAAACCATGCAATCTGTTCCAGTTCAATTCAAACGAGACGTTCAGTTAACAGAGTAAGTATTCGGGGAAAGTAAAATTTTAATTAAAATCCACACATGCTTCAAAATGTTACTGTGGGAATATAATGAGATTCCTTCAAAGTTAAGTGAGAACAGAGGCAGCAAACCACAGCATTAGTGATACCTTAACATAAAAACCAGTTGCTAACTACCACTGCCTTACACACCGAGAGTCTCTTGAACAGCATACAATTAAACTGCACATATAATTTGACCAGGTTAGGTATAGCTTTTGTCACCAGTATGCCAGCTTTAGTATGTCACCTGTGACTTACTACACAGTGAAATGAAGCAAGGAAAAGAGACCTTACAATATACCCACCCAAGGCAAATCTATATACTTCTCAGAAGACTCATGAGGCGAAGAGCTCCGATTCCTGAGCAACCACTGCTAGAGAAGTTCCAGTCCATGCCAGCTGCTCGTGAACCACCAGTGATCCACCGAAACAGCATTTTATGGTAACCTAAAATCCATGCCAATGTACTGTAATAATCTGGGCTGCAAAGTTGAGTGTTGTGGTTTAACCCCAGCCAGCAACTAAGCCCCACACAGCCACTCGCTCA